GTTTGTACAAGTCTTTGTCCCCACTCCTGTAGGCGTCTTCTTTGGCCTGGCGAAGCTGTTTGAGTTTTGCACTGAACCAAGGTTTGTCGTTGTTAAATGATAAATAAGTCCTGGTGGGAACACACATGTCTACACAGAAACTAATGTAGGATGTCACGGTGACAGTAAGCTCATCCAGATCAGTAGCTGCAGCCTCAAAAACACTCCAATCAGTAAGTTCGAAGCAGGCCTGTAAATCTTGCTCTGCTTCAGCAGTCCATCTCTTTACAGTTTTTACTACAGGCTTAGCAGATTTGAGTTTCTGCCTGTAGGCTGGTAGAAGATGAACCAAACAGTGATCAGAGAGTCTCAGTGCTGCTCGGGGGACAGAGTGGTATGCATCCTTTAAAACAGCGTAGCAGTGGTCCAGTATATTGCCTTCTGTGGTGGGCCATGTGATGTGCTGTCTGTATTTAGGCAGTTCGCGTGTGAGATTAGCTTTATTAAAATCACAGAGAATGATAATGAAAGAGTCCGGATAACGCTGCTCTGTGTGTGTGATCGGCCAACAGTTCTAGCGCGTCAGGAGGAATGTACACACTCACAAGAATAAACTAGGAAAACTCCCGTGGTGAATAAAAAGGCTTACAGTTAATTAAGAGAGTTTCCAAATTTGGGCAGCACATCTTCTTTACAACTGTCACGTTTGCACACCAGCCTTCATTGATATAAAAACATAATTCACCGCCTCTCGTTTTCCCCGACGACTCGGTGACACGGTCTGCTCTGAACAGCTGGAAGCCTGTTAGATGTAACGTGCTGTCCGGAATGGCTCCGTTCAGTCAGGTTTCCATGAAGCAGAGCGCAGCGGAGTTTAAAAAGTAATTGTTTGTGTGGGTGAGGAGTCGTAGTTCGTTTGATTTATTTGCTAGGGAGTGGAGATTCGCCAGATGAATGCTTGGCAGCGGATTCCTAAGACCACGCTGTCGGAATTTCACGAGCACGCCGGCGCGCTTCCCTCGCTTGGGTCGCCTGGAGCGCTTGTATAGGAACGCAGCCCCTCCGACTAAAATGTCCAGTAAAACATCTGAATGCTCAAATGTCAGCAGAAAGTAATTTGGTGTGCTATTTCTGATGTCCAGGAGTTTGTTCCTAGTAAAGCTGATCGGGAAAAAAATGCTTAAGACAGGACAAACAAACAAAAAAATTACAAGTACCATGGAGCGACAAACCATGGCTGCCATCCGCGGCGCCATCTTAGTAACTAGAATATATATATATATATATTTTTTCATATATATATATATAATCTGTGTGTGTATGTGTTACTATATAACGAGGTCATATTCAGAAACCAATGAAACCAAAACCAAATAGCGTTGAAACAGGAAGTCAAGTAAACAGAAGAGAAAGACAAAATAACGATCCACATAACAGAACATAAACATGACAATAAGATTGTTAGGCTATTGTTAGCCTATATGTATAACAGTTCATTCTGATCCTTGAATCCGACTGGACAAGAGACTTTCTATTGATATTTCCACCTGCGCGCATTCTAGACGGGCTGTCAGTCAGTGCAGTTACAGTGTTGCGCCACAAGGTGGTGGAAAGGGACTCTCTTTGAGTGATTCTTTAAAGCGTTCATTCAACTACACGTTCAAAAACGCTGATTCATTCAAAAAGAGACCAAATGAAAAACGCTGTTGAAATCCTTTTAACTTTGAGCGCCACGTTAGAAGGCTCAGCTGACCAATGCGTTGATGCTAAGACAGAGATTTGGCTTTCCTTGGCTTTCCTTGGACATGACTACCCATTTTCACAAATACATATGACTCGCAAGTAATCGCAAATGCTCAGTTGATCTCTCTCTCATTCGTTGTCTGTTAGGCTTGTTTGCACGTTGCTTGTGTGATAGTTATTGTTGGTCAGGGATTCAGTGGGAGTGGGATTAAGAAAACAGCCGAATCCCGGACATATATATATATATATTTGATGTGTTTATTGGAATCTATGATATTTTAATATTTGCCTTATAACTGTTTTTTAGCAGACAAAGCATTTAATATGTGTGTAAGATATGTGAAGTTTAGTATCGGGTGAGAGTTTGTTTTATTCACAGAACATTGGTGTAAGTGAAAAATTGATATTCGGCATCATTTTCCGGTGATGATATTTTTACAAGAAGTTCTTAAAAACTTGCAGAAATACTCGCCACAAACAGCATGTGATTAATGCATGATAAGGAACAGTATGGGGCGTGGCTAAACCCCGCAGCCACCATCTGATTGGACCACGACCTGTGGGCTGGACAAAAGTCAGCCTGCTTAAAATTGGACACAAAGTCTTACGCGCTCACTCGCTCTCTCTCTCTCAAGACCCTTTGGCTTTCCGCCTTGGTGAGCGCGACAAAAGCGCTCCCACACCGTAACACCGCACAGTGAGACCATCTAAGAACTCACACTTCAGTTTGAACCTTCGCGATCTTCAAAGAACTTAAAGTCTTGCAAACTCAGGCTTTTAGCAGGACTGCTGAAGCCTCTTCCGTAACCCGGCATTATTACCAAAGCAGTAACAGTTATTACCCCAGCATTCATATTCATATTGGTTTTGGTCTCTATATTTCCAGTAGTAGAAATGATGCATTCTTGTGTCGCAGTACATGTGGTACTGAGCACCAGTGCAGATGTATGTGTCGTTATAAAGCCCACAGTCATAAACTGGACTAACTGCTGCAGGAATAGTGATGCTACTGCTGTTATTTGTACAGAAGCAGGAGGATGAAGTGCTACTGTAGCATGTACAGGTGTCCTTATTACCAAAGCAGTAACAGTTATTATTTAAACAGTAGTAATGGTATCTATCATAATCGAAATCATGTACACTTGTGTTGCAATACATGTGGTACTGAGCACCAGTGCAGATGTACAAGTCATTATAACGTGCACAGTCATAGACTGGACTAACTGCTATAGTGAGAGCGGTGATATTGCCATAAGTCTTACAGAAGCAGGAGGACAAAGTGCTAGTAGAGCATGTACAGGTGTCCGTATTACCAAAGCAGTCACAGTCATTATTCACACACAGGTACTGGTATTTGTACTGAGATCTCTGGTAGGAGAAGTCATGCATTTGTGTGTTGCAGTACATGCGATACTGAGCACCAGTGCAGATGTACATATCATTAAGACGCACACAGTCAGGGTCTGTAACTGAACTAACTGCTGTAGGGAGAGCAATGCTATTGTTGTAAGTCTCACAGAAGCAGGAGGACAAAGTGCTACTGTAGCATGTACAGGTGTCATTATTACCAAAGCAGTAACAGTTATTACCCCAGCATTCATATTCATATTGGTTTTGGTCTCTATATTTCCAGTAGTAGAAATGATGCATTCTTGTGTCGCAGTACATGTGGTACTGAGCACCAGTGCAGATGTATGTGTCGTTATAAAGCCCACAGTCATAAACTGGACTAACTGCTGCAGGAATAGTGATGCTACTGCTGTTATTTGTACAGAAGCAGGAGGATGAAGTGCTACTGTAGCATGTACAGGTGTCCTTATTACCAAAGCAGTAACAGTTATTATTTAAACAGTAGTAATGGTATCTATCATAATCGAAATCATGTACACTTGTGTTGCAATACATGTGGTACTGAGCACCAGTGCAGATGTACAAGTCATTATAACGTGCACAGTCATAGACTGGACTAACTGCTATAGTGAGAGCGGTGATATTGCCATAAGTCTTACAGAAGCAGGAGGACAAAGTGCTAGTAGAGCATGTACAGGTGTCCGTATTACCAAAGCAGTCACAGTCATTATTCACACACAGGTACTGGTATTTGTACTGAGATCTCTGGTAGGAGAAGTCATGCATTTGTGTGTTGCAGTACATGCGATACTGAGCACCAGTGCAGATGTACATATCATTAAGACGCACACAGTCAGGGTCTGTAACTGAACTAACTGCTGTAGGGAGAGCAATGCTATTGTTGTAAGTCTCACAGAAGCAGGAGGACAAAGTGCTACTGTAGCATGTACAGGTGTCATTATTACCAAAGCAGTAACAGTTATTACCCCAGCATTCATATTCATATTGGTTTTGGTCTCTATATTTCCAGTAGTAGAAATGATGCATTCTTGTGTCGCAGTACATGTGGTACTGAGCACCAGTGCAGATGTATGTGTCGTTATAAAGCCCACAGTCATAAACTGGACTAACTGCTGCAGGAATAGTGATGCTACTGCTGTTATTTGTACAGAAGCAGGAGGATGAAGTGCTACTGTAGCATGTACAGGTGTCCTTATTACCAAAGCAGTAACAGTTATTATTTAAACAGTAGTAATGGTATCTATCATAATCGAAATCATGTACACTTGTGTTGCAATACATGTGGTACTGAGCACCAGTGCAGATGTACAAGTCATTATAACGTGCACAGTCATAGACTGGACTAACTGCTATAGTGAGAGCGGTGATATTGCCATAAGTCTTACAGAAGCAGGAGGACAAAGTGCTAGTAGAGCATGTACAGGTGTCCCTATTACCAAAGCAGTCACAGTCATTATTCACACACAGGTACTGGTATTTGTACTGAGATCTCTGGTAGGAGAAGGCATGCATTTGTGTGTTGCAGTACATGCGATACTGAGCACCAGTGCAGATGTACATATCATTAAGACGCACACAGTCAGGGTCTGTAACTGAACTAACTGCTGTAGGGAGAGCAATGCTATTGTTGTAAGTCTCACAGAAGCAGGAGGACAAAGTGCTACTGTAGCATGTACAGGTGTCCTCATTAACAATGCAGTAACAGTTATTACTAATGCAATGGTATTGGTTTTTGCTCTGATACCTCAAAAAGTAAAAATGATGCATTCTTGTGTTGCAGTACATGTGGTCCTGAGCACCAGTGCAGATGTACGTGTCGTTATAAAGCAGACAGTCAGGGATTGTGAATGGATTACGTAATGAAGAGATAGTGATATTATAGCCATAATTTGTACAGAAGCAGGATGACGTATGACTGTAGCACCAACAGGAGTCCTTATTAAAACGACAGTCACAGTTATTACTCCAGCATTCGTACAGGTATTGGTTTTGGTAAAGATGTCTGGAGTAGCTAAAATAATGCACCGTTGTGTTGCAGTACATGTGGTACTGAGCACCAATGCAGATGTACGTGTCATTCTTAAACTCACAGTCCAAGACAGGTCGAACTGCTGTAGGGACTATGATGTTATTGCTAAAGATCTCACAGAAGCAGGACGAAGTATTATAGTAGCATGCACAGGTGTCATTATTACCAACACAGATACAGTCATTACTCATGCAGTGGTATTGGTGTTGGTCTTGGTCTCTCTGGTAGTAGAAATGATGCATTCTTGTGTCGCAATACATTTGATACTGAGAACCGCTGCAGATGTACGTTTCATTATAAAGCACACAGCCATAAGCTGGACTAACTGCTGCTCTTGGTTCAGCAGCAGTGGTAGATATGAAAGCTGAGAATGAGAAAGATGGGATCAAAGTCAGAAAACACAAATACCAAACCAGGTGAATTTCTAGCATGTTTAGCACATTTAAATTAACGTGAAACACATGAGTTTACACTGTTTTACATGCATTTCTCAATACTGAGTTTTGTCTTTCAACAGTTAGCAAAAATGCAGGATCTGTGGAGTACACTGTTCAGTTGTTTTGACATGTTGTATCTAAATACATGTATCTAAATTTGACATGTTTTCTAAATATTTCATTAAGACATGTATGCATTTGGAAAGCATTTTGGAAGTGAGATTAGCTGGTCTCTTTATTTGCATCATTAACTTATGTTAAGAGTTTTACAATGACTAAGTACTAAGAAATAAATGTAACCGATGGTATAAAAAATGTTATAAAGTTTGCAGGGTCAACAGACCCATGTGTTTGAAGAAAACTATTGGCTTGCACTCACACAGGATTAAAGAGATGACAGTCAACAGTGACCATACACCACCTGGCATAAAAAAAAGAAAAAATTTAAAATGTTGTTTTTCTACTATGATAATTTATTCACATTACACACAAATATTAAATGTTTTTCAAAGCAGATCTTTTGGACTGACATGTGCACCAAAAATGCTATTATTTTCAATAATCAGAGTAAGGACTTAATCACAATAAGACACAATCAAGCTCTTTACTCAACCTAAAAGTTGACTGTTTACTATTGTCCTCTTTTTAGAGCTGCTCTACAGCATAATTTAATTTTGTTTTATTAACACTATATTCATGATAAAGTTGCTTTGACACAATCTGTATTGTACAATCAATATTGTACCTTATATACACACAACACTGATCCACTGATCATACTGGTTACTCCACTGCACACCTCGGATCACTTCCTCCTCACTCTTAACCTCAACATGGTTCCTGACACAACACATAAACCCTCCACATGTCATCTTTCGACGTAAGCTATGCTCACTCTTACCCTCCCGGCTATCTGCTATGGTTTCATCTTTGCTTCCTCCCCCTAAACCAGGGGTGCCCAAACTCGGTCCTGGAGGGCCGATGTCCTGCAGAGTTTAGATCCGACCCCAATTAGACACACCTGAACCAGCCAATCAAGCTCTTACTAGGCATACTAGAAACTTCCCGGCAGGTGTGTTGAGGCAAGTTGGAGCTAAACTCTGCAGGGCACTGGCCTTCCAGGACCGAGTTTGGACAGCCCTGCCCTAAACAGTTATCATCTCTTGATGTTAACAGTGCTACTGATACTTTCTGCTCCACTCTTACATCTTGTTTAGACACTGTCTGCCCCCTATCTTCCAGACAAACCCCGTACCACCTCTTCTGCCCCTTGGCTGTCTGATGTTCTCCACGAACATCGTTCTAAGCTTACGGCTGCTGAAAGCGTATGTTGCAAATCAAAAAATCCTACTGACCTTAATGTGTATCTGTCACTCCTCTCTTCCTTCTCTGCTAATGTCTCCACTGCTAAAAGGACATACTATCATAACAAAATTAACAATTCCTCTAATTCCTGCATGCTCTTTAAAACATTTTCCTCCCTCCTTTGTTCTCCTCCTCCCCCAAATCATCAACTTTAACAGCTGACAACTTTGCCACGTTCTTCAGTAATAAAATTAAAACCATCAGTGCACAATTTTCCACACCACAATTTGTCAAGCATATCTTACCAGCAAACATACACTCATTCACATCCTTCTCTTCACTCTCTGAGGCAGAAGTCTCCAAACTCATCCTTTCTAATCATCCTACTACTTATCCCAGGGGTAGGCAAGTTCGGTCCTAGAGAGCCGCAGTCCTGCAGAGTTCAGCTCCAACCCTATTCAAACACACCTGAACAAGCTAATCAATGTCTTCAGGATTACTAAGGCTATAGGCAAGTGAGTTTTTTTTCAGGGTTGGAGCTGAACTCTGCAGGACTGCAGCTCTCTAGGAACGAACTTGCCTACCCCTGACTTATCCACTTGATCATATCTCATCTCCTTCAAGCCATTTTCCCTGCATTTATACCTGCGCTCACTCACATCGTTAATACATCCTTTCACACTGGTGTTTTTCCCTCAGCATTTAGACAGGCTCGTATAAACCCTCTACTTAAAAAAAACCCACCCTTAACCCTTCTCATTTAGAGAACTACAAACCGGTTTCCCTTCTTCATTTTATTGCAAAAAACACTTGAGTGAGCTGTGTTCAACCAAGTATCTGCCTTTCTCACACAGAACAACATCCTCGACAGCAACCAGTCTGGTTTCAGAAGTGGACATTCAACCGAGACTGCCTTGCTCTCAGTTGTTGAAGCCCTAAGACTGGCAAGAGCAGATTCAAAATCTTCAATTGTGATCTTGCTGGACCTGTCCGCTGCTTTTGACACAATTAACCACCAGATCCTCCTGTTAACCCGATTGGCAAAGGGCATCTCAGGAACCGCACTCCAGTGGTTTGAGTCTTACCTCTCAGATAGGTTCTTCAAGGTATCTTGTAGAGGTGAGGTGTCCAAGTCGCAGCATCTAACTATGGGGTGCCTCAGGGCTCTGTTCTTAGACCACTTCCCTTCTCTGTCTACATGGCATCACTAGGTTCTGTCATTCAGAAATATGGCTTTTCATATCACTGCTATTCTGATGACACTCAACTCTACCTCTCATTCCATCCGGATGATCCGACGATAGCTGCTCGCATCTCAGCTTGTCTAACAGACATTTCTTGCTGGATGAAGAACCATCACCTTCAACTCAACCTTGCCAAGACTGAACTGCTTGTGTTTCCATCAAACCCCTTGTTTCATCACAATTTCACCATCAAGTTAGGCACATCAACCATAACTCCTTTAAAAACAGCCATTATGTTATGATTTGATGATCAGCTGACTTTCTCAGACCACATTGCTAAAACTGCCCTGTCCTGCAGATTTGCTTTATTCAACATTAGGAAGATCAGGCCCTTTCTTTCGAGACATGCTTCACAACTCCTTCTTCAAGCTCTTGTCCTATCCAGGCTGGACTATTGCAATGCTCTCTTGGCAGGTCTTCCAGCCAGTTCTATCAAACCTTTACAATTAATCCAGAACACGGCAGCAAGATTAATTTTAAATGAGCCAGAAAGAATGCATGTCACACCTATGTTTATCAATTTGCACGGGCTACCAATAGCTGCTCGCATAAAATTAAATGCATTAATGTTTGCCTACAAAACCACCACTGGCTCTGCACCCCTTTACCTAAATTCAATACTTCAGACTTATGTACCCTCTAGAAGCTTGCGTTCTGCAAGTAAACGTCACTTTATTGTGCCATCCCAACGAGGCACACAATCACTTGCACTGACTTTTAAATGAACTGTTCCCTCCTGGTGGAATGACCTGCCCAACTCAATCCGAGCAGCTGAGTCCTTAGCCATCTTCAAGAATCGGCTAAAAACACATCTCTTCCATCTTTATTTGACCCCCTAACTCTAGCACTCTCTATTCTAATTATATTCTTTAAAAAAGCTTGCTCTATTCTTTTTCTATTCTATGTTTTCTTTTTATTTACTATATAATAAAAAAAAACTTGCTATGTGTACTGCATTAAGCTAACTGAGACTTGTTATAGCACTTGCATATCATTGCTCTCTTGTTGACTTTGATTGCTTCCATTGTCCTCATTTGTAAGTTGCTTTGGATAAAAGCATCTGCTAAATGACTAAATGTAAATGTAATGTAAATGTATAAAGCACTATATAAATAAAGGTGACTTGACTCCTGTTTACATGCAAGTTTCATTATTCTGATTATGAACTGAAGTATGCAAATTTTTACTGCCATTTGCAAACCCAAAGTACAAATGATGAACTTACATACAGTTGGTGTGTTACTGACCACTGTTTTAATCTACTTACATCTAATGCAAAACACATTTCTATGGACATATTGGAAGGTTGTTTGGCGATGTGATGAACATCGCAATGCTTCCATTATTGGGTTGCATTCGTGTTCTTCGCACTGTCTCTGAATGAAGATACAGAGCTAAGACTGCACAGTGAGTTTTATTGACAGAGTTTAATCATTTGGATTGGAGGAAAACAATTCTGAATAAAATCAAGGATTAATCATTTATTAATAATTTCTTCATGTTTTTGCCATACCCCATCTAAAGTGGAGACTATTCATAATTTGAAAATGTTTATAAACATTTACTAATTTTTTAGTATCTTTATTGGCACTGGACTTTATCTACTATTACAACGTTTGTGCTTGGTAAAGACATATCACACATTGTAATTTGGGTGCAAAGCATTTTTCTGTTTTTATCACCTCAACACTTATATTAGTATACTATTGTTGTGTATCATTAAACAGAATATTCCTTCAGATGCTGCCACTTCCCACAACCTCATCATCTGCAGACAGTGGCAAAGCCTGAGGGGTTTCCCAAATGTTCATTTGCTACTGGCAGTTTGATGATTGACATTTTATTTCACCTCATGAAAGTACAGAGGTATACAGCACACCGTTAATGTATATTAATGCTGAATATTAAGAGACTATTAGGTGGTTGCAATATACAGAAGAATACGTTTAAGAGCAGAGCATGGTATTGTGCATGGTATTGATGAAACTGTTATGAACTATACATTATAAATAAATAATATACACATATATATATATATATATATATATATATATATATATATAATCTGTGTGTGTATGTGTTACTATATAACGAGGTCATATTCAGAAACCAATGAAACCAAAACCAAATAGCGTTGAAACAGGAAGTCAAGTAAACAGAAGAGAAAGACAAAATAACGATCCACATAACAGAACATAAACATGACAATAAGATTGTTAGGCTATTGTTAGCCTATATGTATAACAGTTCATTCTGATCCTTGAATCCGACTGGACAAGAGACTTTCTATTGATATTTCCACCTGCGCGCATTCTAGACGGGCTGTCAGTCAGTGCAGTTACAGTGTTGCGCCACAAGGTGGTGGAAAGGGACTCTCTTTGAGTGATTCTTTAAAGCGTTCATTCAACTACACGTTCAAAAACGCTGATTCATTCAAAAAGAGACCAAATGAAAAACGCTGTTGAAATCCTTTTAACTTTGAGCGCCACGTTAGAAGGCTCAGCTGACCAATGCGTTGATGCTAAGACAGAGATTTGGCTTTCCTTGGCTTTCCTTGGACATGACTACCCATTTTCACAAATACATATGACTCGCAAGTAATCGCAAATGCTCAGTTGATCTCTCTCTCATTCGTTGTCTGTTAGGCTTGTTTGCACGTTGCTTGTGTGATAGTTATTGTTGGTCAGAGATTCAGTGGGAGTGGGATTAAGAAAACAGCCGAATCCCGTACATTTTGGGCAATTTAGAAATCCCGGCCGGATGCATTTTTGTAGGTCCAAAAAGAGGACATGTCCGGGGAAAAGAGGACGTATGGGTCACCCTAATTTATAACCTATTGCTAATAGATTGTAGGGATTTCTAGTACATGAAC